ATATATTTTTCATATATACATATATATAATATATGATATATAAAATATATGAAAAATTGATGTGGCTACTCAAATGAAAGGTCTCAACGAGTGTAATGTCGAGATGAGCTTATATCATTAAAAATGTCAATATTTAAGAAAGTTCAGTGCAATTTAACAAAATTCATTATTTAATAAAGCAAAATTTTATTTATTAATAGTTCAAAACTCACAGCAGTCACGTAGTGACTGCTTGGTTGTTGCTACTAATAATAATAATAATAATAATAATGCTGTCAAAAAAATCTTGACATTATTATTATCATCAAAAAAAAAATTTTTTTTTACTATAAACAATAAAAAAATTTACCTGAATGACAACTCCATCTTCCAGAGTAGCTTGAGAGTCAACTTGACTAATTCTAGTATGACAATCACGGAAATTCAACTCCTGAATTTTCTGATGAATTTCTTTCTGCCCAACCGCAGGAATAACATCGCGGTCTGTGTTGTCCAAACCACCGTGTATAAAAGCTGAATTGTGATTGTAAAATCTGAAACAAAATTAATAATATAATTTAATATTAAATAAATAATTTAATTCTTAAAAAAATAAAAAATTTTTTTCCAATGAATGACATCATTCAATTTAATTATTCATTTAAAAGTGATGAATAAAAGTTAACTATTTACAAATAGTCAATCATTTATAGAACACCTTTCAAATTACATCATTCAATGTTACAATTTGTGCAATTGCCAAGTAATAAACTTTTAAAATTTTAAATACTTAAATTTTGTTTAATAAGAAAAAAAAAAATTTTTTCTTTATTATTAAATATTAATTAATAATAATAATTACCTGTGTAAATGAGCAGGTGCCTGGTTTAACAATGTATAATATTGCCGAACAAATTCACGACCAACAGATCGTGCTGAGTGTGCTGCCGAATGTGTAGCATCCATGACCATTTCCTAATATGTTGGCTTTATTATGTAGTTAATATCAACTGTTTATTTTTTATCAAAATACTACCGATTGAATATTTAAAGTTAGCTTGTAAATATAAACAAACTTTAAATAAAAATGGTTAATTATTGTTTTTTTTTTATTTAGAATTTTATTGTCTACTTTACTTTACTTTTATTTCTATCAACTACTGTAGATTAAAAACTTGAGTTTTTAATTTGAAAAATTGATTTTTTTCGGTTTTTAATTTTATTATAAAAAATTACGTTTTGAATCTGAAACAAAAAAAATATAGTTTGTTTAAAATTTTATTTATGTCAACATTAATTTTTTTTTGAATATAAAATAATTATCTCTATTATTAAGAGAATAAGAAAAATTTTGGTTCCAGGATAGTAATATGGTATATTTTAAGGAAATTTAGTGCCATTGAAGAGATATTGACTTGAATTTTTTATTTCATTCTTAATTATAGTCAATTTATTATAATAAGTATTTAGGCAGAGTTCGAAAATTTTTTATCAGCAGATACATAATTAAGAAATGACCTCGTATCTTGAGAAATATTGACATTTTTTAAGATATAAGCTCATCTTGATGTTACACTCATCGAGACCTTTCATTTGAGTACCCACATCAATTTTTCATATATTTGATATATTTATATATATGTATATATAGAAAATATATCAAAAATGCATGTATGTACTCAAATGAAAGCTCTTGATGAGTATAACATCGGGATGAGCTTATATATTTAAAAATGTCAATATTTAAGAAATGACCTTATATCTTGTGAACTATTGACATTTTTTAAGATAGAAGCTCATCTTGATGTTATGCTCATCGAGACCTTTCATTGGAGTACCTACATCAATTTTTCATATATTTTATATATTTATATATATTAAATATATACATATATGAAAAATATATCAAAAATGCATGTGGGTATTCAAATGAAAGCTCTTGATGATTGTAACATCAAGATGAGGTAATATCTTTAAAATTGTCAATATTTAAGAAATGACCTTATATCTTGTCAACTATTGACGTTTTCAAAGATATAAGCTCACCTTGATGTTACACTCACTGAAACCTATCATTTGAATACCCACATGACATTTTTCATATATTTTACATATTTGGTATTTATGAAATATATAAATATATAAAATATATATGAAAAATTGATGTGGGTACTCAAATGAAAGCTCTTGATGAGTGTACCATCAAGATGAGCTTATACTTCCAAAATATATATTATATTTAATTTAATTTCAATAATTATTAAAATTTCAATGTAAAAAATATAAAAAAGCCGTCATAACTTTTTTTCTTAATTTTGAATCTTTAAAAAAAAAAAAGTTACTAATAAAATTCTAATTGTTAATTAAAAAAAATTTAACTTAATAATTTTTAAATACAAAAAAAAATTTTATAAATTTCTCTGAAAATCTAAAAATCTATAAAAATAGACTTTTAAAAAAAATAAAATTAATGGTACACATGGCGAATAACTACAACGCGGTCTCCTCGTGTCTTTCTAGCCGACACGCTAGCAAAATGTCCCACCATTAACCCTTGAGTCCCAAAAGGCCCCTAAAAATACCAACTCACTAAAATTTCAAGCCCCCAAAAAAATTTCTCTTAAATTTTTTTCTAAAAAAAAAATAAAAATAAAAAAAAATTCTTACAACCTCCGATTAATCCAAAAAAATAAGTACTTACAACCCGGAGCAAAAAATACGAAGCTGGGTCTAATAACCTCACAAAAAAAAATGTCGGTAGTCGGCACAAAGCCGTAAAGGGACCGGGAGACATGCTTAAAATTTCGGAAAATTCTTTAAGTAAAAAGAACAGCTCGGATGATTCGAGATTCAAGCATGGCGAATTGTTGGACGCGGTAACAAATATATTTAATAAAAATTCTGTTGTAATTTTTTCGTCGGCTATTTTATCGACGTCCGCCATTTTAATTTTTTAATAAACAAAGTTAATTACTACAATTAAAAAAAAAAAAAAAATTTTTTTTAGCAAATAAATAAATAAATAAATAAATAAATATAATGAAAAATAAACCGGGTAAAATTTAGACTTACCTAAAGTTTAATCAGTGATCGCACGTTTTTATTCTGGTCCTCAATTTAGCTTTAAAAACTCGGTAATTACTTGTAATTAAATAGCGGGTGATTACTGTAATAATACAACAATACAATAAATGCCTTCGTATAAAAATTAAAAATAAGAAATTATTTTATAGACACTGAGCTGGACAGTAAGTGTTCAACACTGGACACATATAATATATATAAACGCTCACGGGTCACTTTTGTGTAGGGGATGCAAGTACAGATATATATTTGGTCATGTGGTCTAGGTACTCACCTTCTTTGTCTGGTTTACTTTTAAAGTCCGTGTGTCCTTTGTCGGTGATGCGATGTTGCGATGCACCGTGGAAGCAGCGGCAGTCCTCCGAGAAAATGTGGCCAAGTAAAACTAGTCACTGGTGATGAGTGCCGGGCTATTAATTCTACAGTTTAAGCTGTTTTCATGAAGATCAAAATGGCGGACTTAATAAGCCTAACGCCACATTTAGAGGACCAATCAGCTGATCCCAGAGTTTTACTGAGGCGCACTCTGGTGGCGGATTTTTTAAAGTCTATAATGGAGTCAGTTTAAAATGACATGTTTAAACATTTTTTTTATTTTTTGACAAATTTGTTTGGAAAAATTATTTTTTTAAAATTTTATTATTAATTTTTTTAGATTTTTATGACATTTAAGCTAGCAGTCACTTGATAATTTTTTAATCTTATTTAACAAATAAATCTTTTTTAAAAAATTGCATTTATCATTTTTTTTTTTAACAAATTTGTTTGGAAAAATTATTTTTTAAAAATTTCATTATTAATTTTTTTAGATTTCTATGAAATTAAAGTTAACAGTCACTTGATAATTTTTTAATTTTATTTAACAAATAAATCTTTTTTAAAAAATTGCATTTATAATTTTTTTAAATATCTACATGTTAATTTTTTTTTGTCATAATTTATTTGTTAGAAAAATTCTAAAAATTATGATAAATATCTGCTTAATTAATTCTCATGTCAGTTTAAAATGACATGACGTGAGAGTTAGCAGTTACTTAATAATTGTTTAATTTTTTTTTTATTTAAAGTTAGCCATTTAAAAATTTTTTTTATTGAAAAAATTATTATAAAAATTTTTTTTTAACAGGAAACTGTATTACCGGTGGTCGCCAGACTTAAGAACTATTTAGTATAGTATGCAGCTGTCTTTAACTTCTATTCACAAATAAATAATTATATATGGCTGCCAAAAAGACCCGAAATTTTTTGAACTGCCAGCCGAAAAAAAATTAATTATACCTAAACAAAACAATATTAAGCTACCATTTTTAATCCGCGGCTATCCCATAAGATAGATAAGGAGATTAAAAAATAGATTGAGTTTAAAAATATATATTTTCATAAGTTATCGTGTTTACCCCTCCATAAGGCCTTGATAAATCCCCTTCATAAATAAATCCCCTTCATAAGCCATTAAACCACTTTTTTTTTATATTAAAATACCAATTAATCGATTAAAAAAAAATTTATTAACTTCAACAAAAGTTTATCTTTCTGACTGTGCATCTTACATCATTCATATGGACAAAATGATTATTAAATACAATTAATTCTAAAGAGTTTAAATTAATTAATTAACTAAATATCCATTGGTATAATTTTTCATGTTTGAAATAACAGAAATTATTGAAGATCGAGAAAAACGTTTGTACTGAGAAGAAAAGTATTTCAATGTCAGAAATCCTGCGTAACCGGGTTTGCCTTTGTAGAATAATCCTAGGCCACTGATTGGAGCTGGTGGTTGAGTTTCTAGAGGACGAGAGTCCAAGAAAGGAACTATTGCTGCGTTGTGACTTTTCTCAGAGAACATAGATATCGTTAAATTTACATAGTGCTGGCCTGTCTTGCTCAATTCGTAGGTCAGCTCGGAATCTCGAGGATTCTTTCTTGAACTTATGTCGATATTCATTCTGAAATTCGTCAAAAATTAAAGTTCACTGCTAGTGAGACACAAGAACACACTTGATGAGTGAAATTAAATTATACCTATCAGTGGAATTTATCTTGGAAGGATAAAACCAACGGTCTCCAACAGACGATGAATAGAAGCTACCTTCACTGTTGTACATCACCGATCCTCGAACTGCTATTGATATTCGATCATCTTTCGTCACGACAAACTTAACTCCTGGGGATTTAAATTCAGTTAAACAAGATTGTTGCTGATTAATAAGACAATTTGAGAAGCGATTGATAAAAAATGGATAAAACTTTAGTACCTGTGACGAATTGTCCATCGGGCATATTAATGTCGTCTAAACTGAACCCGCGAATCTTGTAACTAAGCTGAACAGTCTGAGTCGGTCCATCTGCAGGATGACCACCGTCAGTTCTCCATTTAACGGAGCTTGGATCAATCTCTCCATTGACCAGATGTCCTTCTTGGATTTGCAACGTTATCACATTCTTTTCAACGGCAAACCTGATCCCCGTGACGACTCTGCAAACCAAATGCCATCAATAACCACCTTATCAAAGCAAACGCCTTTAGTTACTACCGATTGTCCGAGCTGTTGGTGTAATACTCTCTCAAACTCAGCAGACGAACGCTGATGTCATTGTCAACTTGTTTATCACAAGCACACAACTTCAACAGCTCGCTGTGGTCACCCAGAATGCACGCAGAAGTCCAATTTTCCTTCTTGTATCCTCTGACATTTTTCCACCCATACTTCCGGCAACTTGTATCTTCACTGTCAAAATTCTCCAGGAAAACCTGAAACTCCCCGCTTGAATTACCTCCGGTATAAATTTATAAACTATCAACTTACAATCGGACAGTACATGCTGTACTCTATCCCCTGGGGCAGATCCAAAGGATTGAAGTTCGCCCTTATTCCGTCGCACTCATACTCCGACTCTTTAGTGTCCAGGTAATTCGCGTTCGGGTCAAAGTACCACTTGGTCCTCTGCTCATAGTACGCCACGTAGTTCTTCACGCGGATGTAATTTCTTTCTGAACATTCCATCATAAATTAATTAACCAGCTCAGCAAAATAAGTCTATCTACTAACCTTCCGACCACTCCAACGCGTCGCAGTTCTTGTACATCCTCTTATAAGTTTCATCCGTTACGTTCAGGTGATAATGACCTGTTTCTATTATTCTGATCACAGAATTTTTGAATTCCGTCAATAAAAATTTCTGTTCCGTTCGTAAACCTTTAAAGTATCCATTCAATTATTTATTATTTAAAGATATAAATAAGCTCATCCCGATGTTACACTCATCGAGACCTTTCATTTGACTACCTACATCAATTTTTCATATATATATATATATATATATATATATATATATATATATAT